CTCTCGTCACAGAACCTTTTTTTCGTTGGCTTCTTCACTCTTTCTCTTACCATCTTCTCTGTTATTTCACAAGCCCTTGCTGTATCACAGTTGTTTGATTTTTTAGCCTGTTTGACTTTTAACTTGAGGCTTGCTTCATATTTCATTCTTTTTGTTGGTTCCAGATTAGGCTCACATTTTACAAAATTTTACACTGATTAAACTTATAGTACAAACTGTCTGAACATGGAATACAACCTACAATGAAGCTTTTGGTCACATGTGAGTGACTGTACCGTGTGTACCTCCAAAGTGATTTGATATGCGTTTCTATAGGCAGTGCTGCCAGATGCAGTAAAATACAATTTGCTCCAGATGATGATGGTTGGATCTAAACTAAGTTCATAGGTCGTTGATAGTTTGGGGCTCATCTTATAAGGACAGATATATGCTAAAACTTTAAAACTGATAGGAATTTATACTTCATCTTATTTGCAGAAATCCACAGCATTTAAAATTTTATGCAAAAAGTTGAATTACAGATAAAAGAAGAGGTAAAAAAAACACCTTTACATGACAGTATAAAAAATTGGAAGTTTGTATTTTCTGGAATGTTAATGAACTTTTAACAAAAAGTGCTGAAAAGCCAAAGATAGCAAGCCAAACCAAAATTGCAGCTACAAACATGGCTGAAGAGTCAAGCAGAGTCAGTGCATCTTCAGAAGCTCAAGCCTGTAAAGGCTGAATATTTGGAAGCAGTGGCAGCTCGTAGCTAAAATTAGTGGGGGTGGTGTTCCAAAACAATTTAACCTTCGTTTTAAAATTGTGTAATAGGAAACAAACATATATAAAAAGAAAATATATTTTGAACCTTCATGAAATCTTACAAGGAAAAATAATTAAACATTTTTTAATTACTTTAACCTAAATTGTTACAGTTCAAACTTTATCTAGTCATTTAAAAATGAAATCCATTTTTCTTGTTTTAATTTGCCTGAAAAGATGAATAATTTTCTCCTTGATCTCTGGATGACAATTGAGGAAATTTTTCTTTATTGTAAGCAATGCAAGGGCATTGAGTCTTTCTGAATTCCTAGTGCTTCTTAGAAAAGTTTTCATTTTTTTTTTCAATGTTGAAAAGCAGTGTTCTGCCTCTGATGTAGTCATGGAAACTCTCAAGAGAATTTTTATCAGTTTCGTAATTTCACTAAGAATATCATCTAGATTATTTTGAAGATAAATTTCAGTAGCTGAATTAATTTGCAGTATTCATGAATATCAAACCTACAATAGAATATTTTTAGTTCCGTTGCAAGCTTTTCTTTGTCAATCATTGGATATGCTTCAGTGGTCAGTACTATTTCTTCTACAGGATGTTCATTCTTAAAACTAGCGAAGCATTTATTATTAAACAATTTAGCAGCTGCTAAGTGTTTAGTGGAAGAATATTTGTATTTGTGCATTATATCAATACATAGTATAAAGTCACATATTTCCTTAGCTTCTGCCATCACAGTCTTTGAAAATTCTAACAGTACTTTGAGTTTCTTAATTCTAAAATAGCAGTTTTGAAATTCTGTTAATATATTCATTAACTTTAAAGGCACAATAATTTCTCTAGGTTGCATTTAGTTGTATAGTATTTCAACATGAAGCATAATCTGATAAAAATGCTCTAACCCAACACTTGAAATTATCATCATTTAGATATTTTAAAATGCCTGTTGCTTTTGAAATAGTTTGATCTGCATTAATGATGTTATGATTGGAATGGAGTAAGGGAAAGCTCAGAGTGAAAAGGTTTTGTGGCGCGGAGTAAAAAGAAATCACGTTTGCAAACAGCACGCCAGAATTTCGGCACTGCGAAAGCGACAGTGCTCTTCTCTCTCCCTTGGCTCGCGTACTGCTTTCTGTGTGCGCATGCGTAGAACAGCCAAACACAACATCGCTGGAACTGTTATAAGCGGGCAGTTCCAAACAAAGACTTTTTTACATACCAAACAAAACCTTTTTTACATACTGAGGGATGGCTACTGACATTAATTAAGCTTAAGGATTATGTATTGTAAAAGTGTAAAGAAAGAATTAAAGACTAAAAGGCACACTATATTAAATATTAAAAATAATAATAAAATAAAATATTAATTAAAAATAATAATAAAATAATAATAGAATAGGAGGTGCTGCAGTTCCACAGTGCTTATTACGAGCTGCCACTGTTTGGAAGTATGGGAATGCCTAGTGTATTGATATTGAGGTGAAAATAATTAGGTTAGCTTACCAAACTTCCTTCATATATATATATATAAGAAAAGAATATGTAAAAGATTAAATTAGCAGCGAAAATGAATTCCTTTCTGTATTCTAAAAATAACACCTCTATTTGCACTGCGTCATTTCGAGAAAAATCTATGTCATATGACTCTTACATAATTCTAACGATGCAAATGAAATTAAAACTCAAACAGCCAAAAGTAATTTGACAGCAATATTAACCATCCAACCAGAATGCATTGAGAACCAAAACTAACTCAGTCTGAATTAAGATTTCTCTCTGAACATAATGCACTTGCTTTCTACACTTTTGCCTAGCTGGACTGCAATCTGTCTGCTCCTTCTATCTTACAGCAAATTTATCTGCTATGTAACTTTTTTGGAATTGGCACAATTAATGTAATTAATGTGACAACTTATTTGTGGCCACAACACGTTTACTGAAATAAAAGTTAAATTAAATATATCTTGACTGCCAAATTTCATATTCCTTGTGGATTGGAGTTTCAGCATTCTACGGCATCAAAATTCTAGCTGTTCGTTGTGAATACAACCACCTGCATTCTACTACAGAATCTATTACATATATATAAAAGGTGATATATGTATATATGATATTTCGGCATCAAAGTTCAGGCATGGTTTTTGCAGAGTGGTTAAGGCTAACCCAAATGAAGAGGCAAGTTGATTTAGTTTTTAATGGTACATCTTTATTCCATAGCTTTTATTCAGTTATCCCTGTAGATCATTTATTCATTACTAAATAAGAGTATTTGAACTTTAATGCATCATAACTTATTCTAACAAAGAGAGCAAGCGAAGTAGCGTAGACCCTAAAGGCACGGAGAGAGGAAAGCTTCTGACGCAAAATGGCGCGCATTTGTTATTTATAGTAGCAGTTACGTAATAGGCTAGCAAATTCTAGAAGGTACTGGTCTAGGGGGAAGATTCTAAATTCCCCTATCTGCACTGAGTCAGTTCGAGAAAAATCTATGTCATATGACTCTTACGTAATTATGATGATGTAAACGGAACTAAAACTCTTAACAGCCAATAATAATTTTACAGCAATATTAACCATCCAATCAGAATGTTTTGAGAACCAAAACTAACTCAGTCTGACTTAAGTTTTCATCCTGAGCATTACTATCTTGCTTTTCACGCTTTGGCCCAGCTACACTGCTGGTTATCGAAAATGTAAGCCTTTTGGAACAGGCACAATTAATGTGATGACTTGTGTGTAACTGCAACATGTTGCTAAAAATAAAACTGAGGATTTAATCTGCCCTCGCCTCCTCATTTCCTAGTCATTATCGATCAGCATTTCTTCGCCATTGAAATTCCTGCTCCTGAAATTATTAAATATATATGTCATGATATCGGGAACATAGAAGAGGAATTAGCTTGCAGTCATCATAGCTGAGCGTGAAGGCTTACAGATGAAGATAACAAAATATGAACTTGAAGAATTTTCAGTCTTTATTTTCACACATATAAAATCATCTCCATAGATGTTTACTCAATCATAATGAAATATGATAAACTGTTATTTACATTGATTCTTAAATTGAAGACACAGGCACTTTAGATGGGTGAAAAAAGCGAGAAGATATTAGCAAGGTGTGAGCTAGCAGAAGTGACGTAATTAACTGCCAGGGGTTTCTGTACCAGAGTAGGTGCGATTCTAGAGATAAGCTATGATTGGTTAGTTATTGGTTTTGGTTACCATTTTCAAGAAGCGTTAAATAACGTCAAAAGATCTTGAATTTGGGAAAACAGATGAATTTAGGGGGAGATCACCAAACCTAAAATGGTAATTTTGAGGTCGCCAATTATTTTTTAAAGCAGCTATCATGTTTTGTTACATTTTGCATATACATATACCAGTTTGATGTTAATTTTTTAAGAGTAAATAGAAAAACTAATATTTAGAAAGGGGGGGGGGAAGGAATCAAAAGATTTTGTGGCTATTTTAAATGCCCATTAAAAAATGTTGATATGTGAAGAAAAGCCTATATTGTGTACCATACTTTGCAAGAATTTAATGAGAATTTTCCAGAAACCTACATGTTTACCTCCTTGAAAGTTTATGCAATAGTGTATTCATAAATCAAACACCTGGAATGTTTCATCACATACTCGTATTTAATACTTATGTTGAATTTGAATCATAAATTAAATTTATTATCAGCTCATGATTACATGAAAATTGTTATTTGTTAATGAACTTCACAGTAAGATGACTTATTGTATGAGGAAACAAAAGTAAATAAAATATGTATTGTAGATACCAAAATGTAGTAAAATATCCAGGCTACTTTTTCACTAGAAATTATTAAAAAAATATTTTTGCAGCTATTGGTCTATTTTTGTTTCATTTCTTATAATTTTCACAGTTTTACTCTTTTCATTCAAAAAAAGATTTACATAATTTCATCATCAATATAATCATTATTTAAAAATAAATTTAGATATATGTGAGATGTTCAGTCCTAATAGTGATGGGAACAGTGCAGGCATTTTATGATTTTTTAATGATGAAAACAATTAACACAAAGATAACACATAAAAGAAGTAAGAAGAAAAATAAGTCCATACACGGTTGCCATCAAAACATAATAACACCGTAAGAAGGAATCAGTCCATCACTGCTTCTGACTCACGCCATTACTTGTCTCCCTCTCAAGTGGCGGACTCTTCTCGCTTTTATCATACAGCTTGGAGCTTCATGGCATATCTTCCATACTTTATAGGCATATCTTCCATACTTCATAACAATAAGAGGGATGAACTTTCGTTGCCTCATAAGGGTTGAAGCATTTGGGATGAAGTGCAAGTCCAAGTTTCAGTAGAAGTCTAAGTCGAAGTTGCAGTACAGGCTGGATTGGCATTTGGTCTCTAGAGTTTGTATTTGTAGGCAGGTTTGTGACATTTCTTATACTGTCATATATTTCTTGCTGTAAACGGGGTATGCTCCATTGAGCTTCAATACGTAATGCAGCTTTGTTATCATGGCGATGTGTCTTCAATTTTATTTTCTTTGAAGTCCGCTTAAATTTACTTCGTTTATACTTCTGACTCTTTCCTTGCATTGCTTTGGGCATGAAGTCGCTAAAGAATATGAAACAGTAATTTTTCTTCAAAGTATTTCAGCATTCTTTATTACGGCAAAAGCTTCAACTGCATCTTTTTCCTGTATGTAACTTATGGTAGCATTTGGATGTACAGATGATAAATTCAGAGTTATCTGAGATGCTTTTGGAATTGTCCGGTGATTTGAAAAATTGTAGTATCAGCTGGGATGACAGTCTGTAGAAGTAGTTTCCATGGATTATATCTCCTTTCTTACTGTTCCTTGGCATCTTTTTTTGGGCATAGCAACATCTAAAATGTAAGAAGAGAAAGATTTGATTTCTTCTGTAATGATAAGGTCTTCTGTAGTGATATCGGTAGGAAAATGCTCCAGATAGAGGGTTCTAGTATCTGTTACTTCATCATATCATCAAGAGTCTTCTGTAAAACGAGAAGCATTTCAGTTTTTGGGGATTTTTCCGTCGTTGGAGTTTTCTTTCTTTTTTCTTTTTTCTTTCTTTTTTTTTTTTAATTCAGCACATCCTTGTTCAAATTGAATTTAGTTTACTTTTCAGTTTCTTCATTATTCTGCATGCTTCGATCATCATCAACATCATCATTAGCTTCATGATTGTCATCATCATCATCATTGTTGTTGTCATCAACAGCATCAACGTCATCTTGATCAACATCAACATTACCTTGCCATCATCATTATCAGTATTGTCAATATCATTATCTTGATCCATGTCGTCATCTGCATCAACATCATGATCATGAGCTTCATGATTGGTATCATCATATCTTTGTTATCGTGATCATCCAAATCTAAATTGTCATCATCCAAATCATCATGTGCATCATCATAATTTTCCTTACCTGTTTTCTCTTTAACAAATTTTCATTTTCTTTTATTCCCTGAAAATCTTTCATAGCAGTGTCAACTTTGTGTGAAGTAACAATATGTTGAACTTCTTCGTGAATTTCAGAGTGTGAGATGTGTGGAAGATCAAATGGAAGTGTTTGATCATAAGTAACATTAGCAAAAATTTGATCATCATTATTGTAGCATAAATGAATACCTCCTTTATCAAATGTAAATTGGGTTTGTTGTAAAAAGTCAAGTGTCAGAAACTGTATAATTTTTTGTAGCTTTTTCCATACAATTATAGATAGGGAGTATCCAACAATTAATATTAATTTTATTCCTGTCCCAAATAACATTCCCTTTTAAGCATGCAAGGTAAAATATACTTTTATTAATAAAAAAGAACTTAATGACTAAAAAGACTTAAGAGTGATTTTTTTAAAACAAAATTAAATAAAATTTACCCATAGATATGATCTGAACACCACATAGAAAAAGAAAACTGAAACTTTTAATTTTCCATTACATTGTTATTTACAGTTGGGCATTTGTGAAAAATTGTTCTCAAGTACAATAAAATACTGTATACAAGTCTTTACAATACAAAACATTCAAATGAATAAAAAAGCTTCACTGGTATCAAAAAAAGTATACAAAATAGTTCATGTTTCTTAAAAAATGATTGTTTCACTTCTGAAATAAGCAGCAAAATAAAAGTATAATAACACTCATTGTACATGATAGATTTGAGCTTAATATAGTAAGCTATTCATTCTCAGGAACTTTGGATTGTAGAAAAGGAAAAGAGAAACTCTTGAACTTTGATTTTTCAAACTTCTAGTCCTAACCTTAAAAATTTTTATAATTTTACTTCACTCTTACTGCAGATCTTCCACTGCTACAAATAAGTATATACATACAGTCTATATGAATTCCATAACTCTTGATACATATCAGTTTGACACACCCCAAATTTCAGGCCACATTTTTTGCTTCTGTCAGACGATTTTGTAGCCCTTGTTTTAATTTGCATATAAAATATCACACTGGTTGTGAGGTAGTGTAATTTTTTAAGTTTGAAAGTGATTCTGGAACTAATGTACTTAATTCCTGAATAAATAAGCTACCAGAACTGATGTTCACAGCCTGCAAATTTAAAAAGAAATATTTACAACATGTAACTTAAGACATACATCTAACATAAATTTTAAAAAAATCCTTAAATTAATTTCAAATATTATTTCCTCTTTTGTTAATTGACGCTCTAATCATATGTTTATAAAAAGGCATAAAATTTCTAATAAATACTGAGTTTATTTAAGCAAACATCTTTTCTTTCATCACCAGACAGAAACATGAAAATTAAAATATTTTAAACCTAAACTGGTATCATACAGATCCTAAGCACCTGAGCAAATAACATCTCTATCTTGAAATCTTCATCATTTTAAGTGAAAATATAGTACACATGTTACTTCAAAGCATTACATATTCACAAAGTACTTGTTTATAAAGGTATAATTAAAATATAGATTCCAAGAATCTCATATGCCAGTTGTACATAAATCGGGTTGTGTCTCTTTTAGGACAGAGGAAAAAATTAGAAGAAACTGGAAGAAAAGAAATGGGTAAAAATGAACAATGATGCAATTGACTGCTAAATGGGATAAATTTACTAATAATAGTTTAAGTTATTAGAAAATTATGACTTTGACAAAAAAAGTAAAATAATTAAAAAACTTATAGATTCACTGTATTGACTTATTCTATTTCCCGTCGATAGCTATATATCATAATAAAATAACACAACACACATTACAGTTTCAATACATTTATTTTCCATAGCGACTCTCTAGCGCTAGGTTTCACCTTACAGCGTAACATGTGAATCGCAACTTCCAATGTACCACAAAAATCAAGTTTCTCACAGAATACATTTCAACGCTCTGGCGCCAAGCATTTCTCAGCTAATACAAAACACTCCCGGTGTTGAAATTAACAATTTCAAAACTATTATTTAAATAAATGTAAATATAAAGGCACTAAAATAAATTACTTCACAATACAAATCACAATATTGAAAAATATACATTCAAATTATTACAACAAATACCAGTTTATAATAGAAATAAACCATTATTCTACAGGAAGTATACATATATCTCAAACATTTCATTTCAGCAAATGCTGATTAGGCAATCTTACAGTTACAACTCTTATTTTGTTATACCTACCATGAAAAACCTCAGCTATTCTCCCAACTAACCATTTGGTTGAAGGCAAATTTTCATCTCTTATTAATACAAGAGTTCCCAACTGAACATCATTCTTTAAAAATTTTCCACTTGTAACGTTCTTGTAAATTATTAAGATAATCACGTTTCCATAATTTCCAAATTTTTTGTGTATACTTAGTGATTCTTTGCCATTTAGAAAGTCTGTTTCATTTATGTTGGAATAAATCTGCTCAGCTAGAGTTGTGATAGGTCTACCAACCAAAAAGTGACCGGGGTCAAAGTTTCAAAATTATTGTAATCAGCTGAAATTGGAGTAAGAGGTCTTGAGTTCAATACTCCTTCAATTTCAGTTAAAATTTCTTCTAAAGTTAAACAATGATTACCAATAACTCTCTTCAAATGACTCTTAAATGATTTAACCCCGGCCTCCCAAATTCTGCTGAAATTTGGTGACTTTGGAGGAATAAATTTCCACTCTATACCTTCAGTGGTATAAAAACTTGCTAAATTCTCATCTGGACACTTAACCAATTTTTGCAATTTTTTGAGTTCTACACTAGTACCAATAAAGATTTTAGAATTATCACTCATTATTCCAGTACATTTTCCCCTTCTAGAGAAAAAAACGTTTTAAGCTTGAAATAAAAGATTGGCTAGTTTGGTCTGTCACAAAGTCTAAGTGTATGGCTTTTGTACTCATACATACATATACTACGACATAAATTTTGTTCAAAACTCCCTTATGTTGAATAATTATCAAAAAAGTGAATGTTTTGTATTGAAAAATAAAAATAATCATTCTAAAACATAGTGGTGGTACCAAAGTTTTTCAGTTTTTGTTTTGATGCTATGTGTTAGTCAAAAAGTTCAGAATGCTGGCTTAGAAGAATCAAGTGAAGTGGTGAATCATCAGCTGTTTAGAAGCAGGGTAAAAAATGATGGAAGCAGAGAAATGTCTGAATAATCAGAGATAGTCTCTATGATATGGAAACAGTTCAAGAACTCTGGAACTGTTGTAGTCCACTAGTGGCCAAGCAGCATATTTGCTGAACACTGGTAGTTTATTGGGGTTTTGATACCAGGTAAAAGGACTAGATGCATGTTTTTATTTATTTATTTATTTATTATTTTTCCCACATGAAATGCAGATACAAGTCAGATTCCCTTAGAAAGTCAAAAGATCAGAAGTTAGTCAAAAGGTTGAGAACCGCTGGTCTAGACACTTTTGATTATTGAGGGTATTCAAATATAAATATATACATACTACCTTAAATGTATTGTAGCATTCAAACTGTGGAGCAGATAAAAAAATGCATTTTATTTTAATTCTATTGAGCTGAAATCCAAAGATAAGTAACCGGTTGGTAGCTTAACGTCTATATTATCATACAGTCCAATGGGATTCTGTGCAGATTTTTGTGCCCATTCTTTAGGCAGATGTGGAAAGGACTGTAAGGGGAGCTTCAGATTCTAATTTGAAGGATTGTACGAGTAAATGAATAAAATTTTACTTGTGGAACATATAAGTTGCCACCGAGAAAGCATTTGACACGTGTGTGAAATGTCATGTTACTGAAAAAGCAAAAGCATGACATAGGAGGAAAAAAAAAAAAAAAAAAAAAAAAAAAACAAAAAAAAAAAAAGAAAAAAAAAAAAAAAAAAAAAAAAAAAAAAAAAAAAAAAAAAAAAAAAAAAAAAAAAAAAATATGTCAAAAAAAAAAAACACAAAAAAAAAAAGATGGTAGCATATGTCTGTTAAAGGAGACATTAATAGGAAAAAATGTCTGTAAAAAGGACAATCTCCTAAAAAAAAAAAAAAAAAAAAAAAAGGAAAAATTTTATGTCAAGAATATTTAAATGGTTTAAAGAAACTCATGATGTACATGTATAACTAAGTGAAGGCAAAAAATATGCCACAACAGACTCTTCGGATCAATATTTGGCAACGATTGCTAAACAAAATAGATAACTGACATCAGTCCAGATTGCAAGGGAATAGCTTCCACACCTGTAGGAACTCAATTATCTATACATACTATGAGTGACAGGGAGCATAAACAGGGCTGTATGCAAGGTAATCCATGACTTACTAAGGCTCCACTGACTTGGCCTGTGAAATGCACCGAGTTGCAGTAAAGCAGAGAGAAATGTTATTGAAATACAACATACTGAAGTTGATTTCTTTTTATTGATGAGTCTTGTTTTTATATGGAGAATGATTCCAGACATGTTACAATCTGGATGGAGCAAAACTCATGCAATAAGTCTCAGAACTTCTGGAAGTCACTGGTACAAAGATGATGGGCTCTTGGTATGGGCAGGAATAATTCTGAATGGCCACACTGACCTACATATCAGTACTAATTAGCTATGAATGCTGAAATATGTAGAGATGAGGTTCTTGATCCTTATGTCAAATTGTTTAGGGACACAGTTTGTGATAATTGCCCTGTGCTAGAAACCAATTATGATTAGAGCAAAGGTATCCAGCAGATAGTGTGGTCTGTATATTCTCCAGATTAAAACCCTATAGAATGCAGCCTTACATCACTGCAGCTCCCACATAGCATCTCCGAGAAGCTTCAAAGCACTGTTCATCATAAACAGATCTTGCTACTGCAGGAACTCCTGGACAATCTAATATACAGCATGAAAATTGCTGCAAAGCTTGCATTACAGTCAAGGGGCACTACAGAAATTATTTACTTTTTCCACTGAAAAAATTAATAAGAAGTTGTAACACCAGCTAAACAAGTTGTAACAATAGGTTCTTCAACCCCACTTTAATATCACATGTTCTTATTTCAAGTTATTTTTTGCAGAAAAACACAATTCTGCATTCTGAAGCTATGTCAGGCACGATAAAATAAAGATGTTGCACAAATTCCACATTCTTAACTGCATAATCATTCAAGTGCATGAATTTTTATAGAGTCGTCTAATTTTGTTCATCAGTGTATTTCCCCATTAAAAATATGTTGCATATTTCTGTATTTTAAAGTTTTCAATATATGTACTCAAGTGCTTATTTATCTATTTATCTTGCTGATTGCAAATTGATATCATATAACTGTTGGCTATGTTGACAATCTTCAAAATAATTCGCAGTCTGGTGATGAAATTTTTCATAGGTGCTACTCCTAAAAGAAATGTGAAATGTACGGTACACACTTTAGATATTAACTGTAAAACATTTCAGTTACTATAACAACTCCCTTTCTACTTGACCAACACAGAACAATCAAAAAGTATAAAAATAAAGTTGCTTAACACCAGCTAGACTTTTAGGATACTGCAATAAAGAATGAGTAATTTTTTTTAATAGATAATTTTACTTGCCTGCATTAGATAAGTAACTTTACTTCTTTTAGGATCCTTTTCATCTTCTTCTACAACCCAGCCACTTGGCATTAACTAAAAAAAATAATTGTAAAGATAAATATATTTTTAAAGGATGAAACTACTTTGCACATTTCATATGAAGTAACTACAATTGTTAGCAAAACTTTAGCAACTTTTCAGAATTGACCATAATTCCACAATAAATCAACTCGGAGACATGGAAATTCATACTACAGAGGCACAATATATTATTAAAAAGATGTGAAGTATAGTAGGAAAAAAATGAATGGAATGCATACAGTAATGGAACAAATAAAATAAAAATAATTCATGGAAAAATGGTGTCGATACAAAAATTGTCGGGCCAACAAGCGAAAGAGCCATAGGGAATTTGACCTCCCCTAACTGCAATGGCTGTGTTGCTCTGTCTGTCAATACTCAGTACCTGATTATCTAACAGTTCTTGGAGTAAGAGTTCCCATTCTTTGAGGAACATCTGTTTCAGTTGTCTGGTGTTCTCCTGAAGGTAGACTGTGCTACCAGGCATCTTCCTAAAGTATTTCACACCTGTTCAATCGGATTTAAATCAGAAAAGCATGCTGGCCAAAGCATTCTGTGGATATCTTCACTCTCCAAGAGTTCCTCAACAGCATGAGTCCTACATGGCTATGCTTTGTCATCCATAAAACAACATCATGACCAATGGACCCCCAGAAAAAACATATGTGGGGCAGAATAACTTCATCACGGTAATGATCTTTGGTAAGTGAACATCTGCCGAAAATGTGGAGCTTCATCCATCATAATGCCTCCCTATACAAGGACTCCAGGACCACCCCAACAATTGCTTAATGTTAGTGGGATGAAAGCATGTCCTTACTTCTATCCATATTAAGTTGCGCTCAGAATCATTTGTCAGATTGAATGACTCTCATCAGTAAGGAGGACATGGCTTCATTGATAAGCTGTCCAGTCATTGTGTTTTCTAGAACACTGGAAATGGTTCAGCCAATGGGCTGGGCTGCTGTCCATGGTATGCAGTGTTCAAAATGGTGGGCAAAGAAGCCACCTTTATGAAGTCATTTGGTTACAGCAAACCAGGACACCTATCACCTAGTTGCTCTATGGAACTACTAAGCAATCTTGCCTGCTGCCCGGTTTCTATCTCTTTCTGCCAGCAGGCAATATATCGGTCAACAATTACCACTGTTTTCCTTGGCCGACCACCATCAACATTTCTTAAAGCTGTATCTGTCATTTCGAAGGTTTTCCAAGCTCATGAAACAACACTTTTATTGATTCCAAACACAATGACATCAATGCAGTATTCTCATTGGTAAAGTAACTACACCCCTCTTCAAGCTTGCTAATCATTCTACCACGAATTAAGGCCTTTTTATATTTCCTTATAGCTGTACTGTATGTATAATCTCACTTTCACTAGTAGAAGAATGCCTGAAAATGCAACTTCCTTTCTTCTTTTTAAGTAAGCCTTGAACTGCCCATGCTGATACATTATACACAACTGCATAACCTTAAAAGAAAAATTAGACTTGTAATTTAAAATATGAGCAATGCAATATTTATTACGAGAATGAGCATTACCTCAACAATGGAAAACAATTAACTTTTTTTTAAAATTTTAAATGACAGTTCAATTTACAGAATTAGTTTACAATGAGAGAAACAAAAACTATGCAGAATTAAACTATATTACAAAATTTAATGATGATATTTCAGTTGAAAATATAGAAAATAAATAATAATAAGCCATATTAACTGTATTCGCTTGGCACCTAATAATAAATACAATTTATTTTTCCACTCATATTAATATTTAAATAATTTAACTTAAATCAAAATTCTGAACATTTTCTAAATTTTCATTGCATAACAGTTTTCCCTTAACATATATCCCAAGTAATTTAAGTAAAAAAGAGGCACATTTCTGAAATCAGAAGACGAGAAATTGCTTCATTCAGTCATCCTTTAACAGTAAAAGCTTAACTAACCTATACTCGGAAATTCCCGAATATTTCGGATAGTAACTGGAAAAAGAGGAGTGGGGGAGATTGTAGCCGTTCTTTAGATTTAAATTTAGGCTAAATAAATGATTTTGACATTTCGATATGTGCATCATATAAAAAACCAACGGAACTGAGAAATATTCTGCTTAGAAAGCACAGTAAAACTCTTTTAAGTGTTCATAAACAAATCTCAGACTGAACATCAAAATTAATTATCAATGCAAAATACCGCAAACGTTATTGCGCAATACGTGCGGCGTAATTCTTCCATATGTGATATTACGCAATCGGAATCAACACCTGCCGGTATTCGGAGAATAAAGAACTAAATAAAGGAAAAGAAAGAGACTTACTAATCTGGGGTGTTTCTGATTCTAATTTTCAACAGACTGTATTAAATTTCCGGAATAGAATCAATCTTCGCTTGGGTTGGGTAGACCGCAAAAACTTTTAGTCCTATTCAATCCAGATTGGACAGTGACAAAAAAAAAAAAGTCCGCTGCTTCAATATTAGAGATTTTGCGGAGAAACTCCCAACCTCCGTACTGTATAATGTATTGGCAAAGAAAATGAAATTATTTTGACTATTCGATTACTTTCCTTTTATTTAAGCCATTCCGAATATTATTCCTTAGAAAGCTAATCTGTGTAAAAACACACCCATTTTTGGAAGTTTATCTATACTTCAGCAGTTACTGCAACTATATTATTATAAATATTCATACATATGCTCATAATATAAGCATAACGATCATAATAAACACGAATATGAACTGACCACGCGGAACGAGAATGTAAATTAATTAAGATCTGATAGAAATTCAAACGTGTGTAGTATTTGGGTGGGAGGAAAAGAATACCGAATGTACCGGAATTTTCTACGTGTTTTCGCAATTCTTTGACCAATAGAACGACGTGCACCTGTCTGTACTCTCGCGCGCACCATAGGTTACGTTAATGCAGAGAAGAAGGGGGGGAAAGCAATTTCCGGGAGTATGATTCACCATCTGACGTTGCATATAAGGAAGAAAAGTTGTTTATTTAGTTTCGGCTTTGGTACGGGTAAAAAAAAATGCGCGTTCATTAAAAACAAAGGATTAAAAAAAAAAAAGCACTAAAAGCAAAAAAATAAGCACTAAAAACAAAAAAATAAGCACTAAAAACAAAAAAATAAGGGCTTTAAAGAAAAAGTAACCACCTATAAGGGCCTTTATATTTTATTTTTAAATATAAGGACTTATAAGCACTTGTAAGGACCGCTACGAACCTTGTTTACATTTACATGATTGACATATTTTGTTCTTTATATTTGTCTGTTATGTGATATGCATTCTGAAGATAACACATTTCTTTTATACAATTTGCAGCCAAGTCTAAATTTATAAACCATTGTAAATACCAAGTAATCCATAAACCGCTGCAATTACTTGTTGTGGCAATGGTTTGTAATAGCAAATTTATAACCATTGCAACAATACAAGCGTCCACAGAGGCCTCAATGCTATCACTATCATAAATAGCTACTTTATACTCAGCATGAACAATAATTTTTTTAAAAAATTAACTTGTACAATACTTAGAAGTAATATACTGAAATAGCAAAATATTAAAACACTCGTCCTCCATATTCTAAACTTGTCAGTATAAAGAGATATATGATTTTTTTAAAAGATTGTTATAAATAAATGCAAAATGTATAAAGATTATGAAAATATATTAGTACAAGATGAAAAAACACACATTATATACATTTAAATGAAGCACAATATTTAGTAAGCAAAAGCTGAATATATTAAAAACATTTACGAAATCAAAATCTAGAACAACAAAAGATGAGCGACTTATCAGCACAAGAGTATATAGAACTTGGAAGTATCATATTGTATAAAATATAACAAAAATTAGTACAAATAGACTAGCACTCATGCCAAGCTCTCTAAAAGGGGAGGGGCTGATTTACTCATTTATAATGGACAAAATAAATGAATCAGTTATAGTCTAAATGAATTATAATTAAATGTGATAAATGCTGATAGACAAATTTCTTTCAGAATACTACTGGCAGTTAAGAATTAAAGCTCTCATAGTATGAATTAAAAGCTGATAGAGATCATATTATGATCTTATATTTGTTTTATAGAAATGATTAAATTTATTAGTATTGGTAAAATAATAGTTGGATATCATAGATAGCCTAATTATCACATTATTACAGCTCAACTATATAAATTATATACTTTTGTATGACAGAAAACATTTCTCAGATTCAAAGAACAGGGAACAATAACAACAACAACAACAACAACAACAAAAAAAAAAAAAAAAAAAAAAAAAAAAAAAAAAAAAAAAAAAAAAAAAAAAAAAAGAAAAAAAAAAAAAAATAAAAAAAAAAAAAAAAAAAAAAAAAAAAAAAAAAAAAAAGAGCAAGCTTCAGTTGAATATTTGAGTAAAATTTAAATAAATATTTAGAAATTAAAAATTGTTATCACCTCAAGATGAACAAATCAATCTATTGAATATATTTAGTACCTCATCTTGGATCTTGGATCATATCTTTACTGCTGGCTTTAGCTACTAGGAGCTCTTACCAGTATATTATCATTTTACCATAGGCCATAAAGTTAAAAATTTAAGAGGTGTATTTAAAATACACCGCGCCCGAAGGCGAGGCGAGATCAATAATGAGAGAACTCATAATAAAATAAGTTTTGCTAAATTGCATATCATGGCATAGCATGGGTGATTATATACGTAAATGGTGGCGAGAAGCGAAATGAAAGTCTAAGCTTCTGCGTGAGTCAAGAAGAGCAGGAACACGTGATCAGCGTCCAGCATTTAGATTGGTCGAGGAGTCAGAGTTCAAAAAATGAAGTTTTTGGCAATAAATAAAGTTCGAACATAGTAAAAGCAACATCTATTTGTGAATTTAAGAGTCTTATGTCTTTTTGAAAACACTTAAAAATCTTCTAAACTTGCGATATATCATTTTTAATGAATAGGAAACTGTAAAAGGCGAAAATGAGGTCATGTAGCTCACTAGGGCTAATGAGTGAGAGTAAGCACTTGGTGTTACCATGAACTTTGATTTTAAAACACACGATACGAAATAGTAAAAATAAAAAGTAAAAATCTTGGTTAAATAAGTAGTAAAACGAAGAATTCATCGATGAAAAATAAAGTCCTAATTTTGCAAAGTTCATCTTTCTTGAATAGTAACTGCAAAGGAATAGTAATTTTTTTTTTTTTTTTTTTATATACATTATATACACTACCACCACTTAGAATTGTGGTGGATCGTTCGAGGTCTTTTCACTACGTTCTCAATAGTAGGGTCATAGTCTGTAAGCGATTTAATAGCTTCATAGGGAGAATTTCTCATATCTTCAAAGAAGTTGTGTGCAGAAATTAGGATTTGGTCATGAATTAGTACCTCATAAAAAGTGTGCCAGATAACATACTGAGAAAAGCTCTAAAATAGTGGTGGCCAACTAGTATACATGTACGGACTAGTTTGAAAATATGTGTTAGTGCCATGGGCCAAGTAATACATTTGGACAACTTTTTTTTTTTGGAAATCCTGTGATAATGATAGTATTATTTGAAAATATTGAAATTAGCTTGGTTAGTAAGTTTGCAAACAGAATAATACTGAAAATTAATTCAGTTGAAGAGAATATGCTGGTAGAAGGTGACAAGTTCACTAAAGTCGCTAAGAGAACTTTACGCATGCAGTTCATATCTGTACACTGTACATAACCAAATAATAAAAGAAATGTATATGAAAAAAGAAGTCTACGATCAAAAAGTTTAGTTAGTCTTCCTTTGGACAGTAGGAAAGTGTAAATCACTGTTGCTAAATACGAGGGCTATCCAGAAAGTAGATTACGTTTTGGAATAAAAAAATAAACAAAGTATAGGAAACAAATTTTATTATATACAGATGAAAGCCACACTCAAATACTACTTTTCTACATAGTCAACCATACAAATTAAGGCATTTATCGTAGCGATGTACGAGCTTGGAAATTCCTTCGTCGAAAATTCGGCGCCTGCGCCTTCAACCACTTCGTTACTCTCTCTTGCCTTCCATCTTGCACAAAACTTGTGGTAACCAAGCTTTTCGCTGATGATTTCGTGCAACAAACTTCGCAAAATTTGTGGTGGAAAACTCAAAGAAAGTTCCGTTATTGTGAAATTTCGATTTTCACGGACTTTAGCATCGACTTTCGAGAAGTTCGGCGGTCACTATGCTGGGTCTCCCACTTCGATCTTCGTCGTGAACATTGGTTCGGCCATTTTGAAATCTTATGACCCACTGACGCACTCCACCTTCAGTGATAATGTTGTCCCCATACACTTCACGAAGCTGCCGATAGATTTCTATCGGTTTACAGTTTTTTGCAGTCAGAAACCTTATTACTGAGCGCACCTCGCGGGATTTTCAATTAACGCAGACATTTCAAACCGTCACAGTATCTGAACGGAGCACAGCACGAACCTCTCACTAGCACGGCTAGATGCAGACTGAGCTGCGCTAGCCCCGCCCCTAGCGGACACAGACGGAAACGTAATCTACTTCCTGGATGGCCCTCGTAGAAGGCAGACCCATAAAGTAACCACACAAATTAAAAGACCAAATAATAAAATAAAGAAGTGAAAGAATAAATACAAGTTTAGAAAAAGAGACATCTCAACAACTCAAAGCCTGTTTAAACTGGTTATTTTGTCATGTGCATATCAAAATGCTGGATAATTTTTATTAACTGAAAAGACACTATACAAAAGTTTATTTTGAGACGGAACAGCATTATAACATTAAATTTTGTTACAAATTAGGTAAATCTGCTACCAAAACATTACAGATGATTCGAACAGTATATGATGATGCTTAGCTATCAAAAGCACAAGTGTATGAGTGGCACAATCACTTTAAATGAGGAACAAAAGATAAGGTACTCTTCAACTTCAAAGAATGAGGAAAATGTGGAGAAAATTCCTTCTTTGGGTAAAAACTGATAGATATGTAACAACTCACCAAATTTCAGACATGTCTGGACCAAGTGCCAAGGTGCTTATGGAGTACTTTTGCAAAAAATTACAGTAACTTCCACATCATCAAAATAAATAAGAGATAAGCATTAATTAAAGAGTGAGAAAAACACCATTAGGTGTTAAAGAAAAAAGTTGGATTAGAGGTCCCCAGGGAACAAGAGTGGTGACAACCTTAAGCGAGCACTCACAGAGAAGCAATTAATCTCCTGTGGCGAGGCAAGCATCAGCAGTTAAAAGGGAAAGTAGGTTAGTTATTGGCATGTGCCGCATGTAAGGTTGCTATGGAAATGAGCTGACAAAAAGAGAGGTAAGATCAGTCTTCGGAAAAGGTAAAAACATGCTTGGGATAAGCAATAAAAGCTGCAGGTTAACTTTTATTGAAAATGAGGAAAGTTTGTGCTCAATTTGTGCCTTGAATTTTGACTTCACAGCAAAAAGAAGACAAAAACACTTGTACTGAATATCTGATAACTACTGTGTACAGCAGTATTTTGCTAAGCATTCAATAGCAGAGATAAAACCCCAATCATATTCTCCCAACTTATCACCAGCCAATTTTTTTTTTTTCTTTTTCTGAAACTTAGTAAGACACAGAGATTTTAAAACATCTCGGATATTAAAACAAAATGTTATGTGCATTTTGTGAACAGTTAGTTTTAATGCCTATATACAGTGTTTCGATGACCTGAAGAAATGTTAGAAAAACTGTATAGACTCCTCTGGTGATTATTTTGAAGGAGATAAATTTAACTGAAATTTAATAATATTTTTATTATTAATAAGAATTATCTGGTTACTTTATAGATGCACCCCTACACATGGAAATTATATGTTTTAAAGAATGCCTTTTCGGAGTTGACAGCAACAGGAATTTTATTCTAAACATCTGTTGAAATTTCAGTTCTTATATATGTTTGTAGCCCACTGTTTTACAGGTTGGTGTATTTTTGAGATCAATGTTTTATATTAGAAGAAAAGATAATGTATTTAGTTTTGTGTGCTTAATGGTAAAACAACGACTGCAACTGCAAATGTGTGGCAAGAAATGAAAAGAACTTCAATATTACTATTTTAAAAAAATTTTCTCTCTAAAACAAAAATGTAGTTTTTTTAAACTCATTGTTTAAACTTATCAAATATTATTGTTGAAAACTAGATAAACTGAAACTGATTATTGTGTCTGATTTGCTTTTTGATTACTTTTCTGTGAAGGTAACAGTCAAGAAATATGTTTACTTAATTTTTTAAACTTATGCAAATTTATGGTTTCTTAGATTTCAAAAGAACTAAAAGTTTATTCGGAATAATATTTCTTACACATAAGTATGTATTCCTATCATTGATGAAAAATGATTTGCAAAATCTATAATATGGTTTTTTTTACTAATAAACTTTGTAATGTAAAATAGTCGATGGCGAAGAAAAATAAGTGGTTCTGAAAACTCTTAGTCATTATTTTATTATTCAATAACTATTAAAATGCATATGTATACACACTTAATAACTGACTAATAAATAGTTATCTTCACTATGCTTATTTATACACTCATATGGTGATAAATATCAAAATAAAAATACTCAATCTATTCCAATGAGCAATGTATTACAAATTTAGTATAAGATACTTACACTGGCTCGGGTAACTGAATTCATAAAAGGACATTTATCATACTCAATGGAATGAAAAGCAGAATAATAACGATTTGGCTCTTCTCTCTCTGTTTGTAAGAGACATAAATCCACAGCTTCCTTCCATATAATGCCACTTGTTTCATGGTAAGTATGAACTAAAAGTTAGTAAATATTTGTAACTAACTATGAAATGCAGGTAAGTATATACAACTCATAACAGAATATTTTACGTGATGAGGAAATTTCAATATTCAGTTTGTTTAAGTATAAATTATGAGGTTTAAAGCCTATTACAAGATTCAAATGTATTAGTATCATAATCAGAGATAAAGTAATGAGATAAATTGCATATTTTTTAGGATGGTTTCCTCCCCTAAATTAGTCTACATATTCTCGTACTGATCATAAATTTACAGCTTCCTTCCATATAATGCCACTTGTTTCATGGTAAGTATGAACTAAAAGTTAGTAAATATCTGTAACTAACTATAAAATGCAGTTAAGTACTTATTATACAACTCATAATAGAATATTCTACGTAACGAGGGAATTTTAGTATTCAGTTAAGTACAAATTATAAGGTTTAAAACTTATAACAAGATTTAAATGTATTAGTAGCATAATAAGAGATAAATATGAGATAAATTGCATATTTTTTAGGATGCTTTCCTCCCACCTAAATGAGTCTACATATTCTCGCAACGATCATAAAAATATGAAAAAATGAGCAAATCTGCTACTAAATATTACAATTTGCCAACATATAATCACAGCACTTGTAATTTTCAAATAATCTAACTAGCAGTAAAAGCAATGTATATAAAGATAAATCATATGTGCCTAAAACTAACTGTAATATATACTATACTATTATTTAATCTTGCAATCATTTCGTGCAACTAATAACTGCAGTTTTATGATTCCCTGAGTAAAAAGTGCAACTTGAAAGTTTACTTTATATTCTCTTAAAAGTTAAAATTAATTCAGCTGTTGTCTAAAGCAGGGAGCACCAAAGTCTTTTAATGGTGTATCCCTAATATGAAAATAATTATAAGTTGTACCCATATAATATAACATAACATAATTAAAGAACTGTGCCAAAAGAAGTACTCTGCCAAATTTTAAAGTAAAATTGAAGCTGTGAGAGGAATTAATTTTACATTTATACATTAGATTCTCTGAAACAGCCATCCACTTTACACCGTTCCATAGCGCTTTAAGCATAAAATTTCATTATCTAACTCAAAAAATCTATAAGAAAAAGTTAATGCCAGCTTTTTTAAAAGCATTTTTAAAGACTTTTGTAGGAATTAGGTTGTTCTGCAAGTTAGAAAGTCGAGTACTTCATCTTGGAGGCGTTTTTGTAATATTACAGATTCTTTTTAATTCTAAGCAGTTGTGCGTTAATTGTATTGATGATGACTCTTTTAGAAATATTGGAATTCCATTTAGTTAATTTAAGTGTAGGAAAGTTGAAATCTCTTCGTTTATTGTAGATTTTCACAAAATTGTAATTTAGAATATGTAAATCAAGGTAAACTATATCATTTTGCACAGTATTTATACTATTAAGTTGTAGGCAAGACAGGTAGATATTAGCTTTTTCTATTTTGCTGAAGTTGTTGAAGACAATTACATCATCAATATAACGAAAGATGTGTTGGTAATATTTTTTATCTTCAATATTTAGTGAACGTACAAAAGTAAATTCTTGTGTGAAAAGGAATAATTCCCAGATTGCTGTTGAAAAGTTGCCGCCCATAAATATTCCCTGTATTTGTTTAAAGATGTTGTTATTAAATTAAAATATAATTGTTGAAAAGAACGCTTGAAAGAAAAAGTTGCCAATTTTCAGCGGATAATATTGTAGAAATTTGGGGAAATAAATTAGGAAGAGTAAGCAAGCTGCTATAAATTTCTTCAAGTGGTAAAGTAGTATAGAGGTTCTCAAAGTCGTAGCATTGGATATGTTCTATTTTAAATGAATTTAAGGTTTTAAGAATTTGTTCGTTGCTTGATATTATCCAGTCGCAATGTATGTTGATCTTTAAAATCATAATTATTGATTACATAATGCATATAATGTAACATAATGCAATATAACATAATATGATATAATACAGTACAAAGTCCGTAATCCGGGCGTCCATTATTATTGTTCGGAAAGTAATTTCGTTTTTTTTGGGGGAACATGAAAGACAATTTTCGTATAATGAATAAATATTTTATTAAATAAATATATATTGGCCATTCTGGTCCAACACCTTTTTGCCATCTTTCTGGCAGTAAACATGATTCCCCGCTCATATAAGTTTTGGTCCTTGCTGGCAAAAAAACTGATTCAGGTGGTTTTTGACATCTTCATTTGAGGTAAAGGTTTTACCATCCAAAAAATTTTGCAGGGACCGGAAAAAATAATAATCTTAAGGTGCCAGATCTGGAGAATATGGTGGGTGTTGCAGTATGTCCCATTCAAGCTGTAAAAGCTTTTGGCGAGTGACCAAACTTGTATGAGGTCTCGCATTATCCTGGTGGAAAACTACACCCTTCCTGTTGTGGTTAATTCTACATCGAGCTTCGAGGTTAAGGCCAGGCCTTTCAAGTGGCCATAAACAGTCGAATTCGACAAATTTAACCTCTCACCAATCTCTCGTGTGGTTATTCGCCGATTTGCATCAACTAGTGCCTTTATCGCATCTTTGTCAGCTTCGACCGGCCTTCCAGACCGTGGTGCATCTTCGACATCAAAATTGCCGGATCGAAACTTTGCAAACCAGTTCTGGCACTGGCGTACTGTTAACACGCCTTCTCCATACACATCCGTCAATTTTTTCTCGCTTGGACAGCATTTTTACCTTTTCTGAAGTAAAAAAGTAAAATATGACAAAAATGCTGCTTATTGCTCTCCATATTTAAAAGGGCACCAACCAAAAACTACTGCGTAGAATTAATAGAACTTTTTCACACACAACCCTTGTAATATCAGCTCTCAAGACATATAATGGTTATGCGGATTAAGTGTGAAGTTGGTTTCGAAAAAATGTAATTAAGTCCTCTGATGGGAAAAAACGAAATTACTTTCCGAACAACCCAATAGAATGATCTATAATCCGGACCTCAAAGCCACAAACTTTTTTTTTTGGTATGCTTTACGCATGATCGTTTAATGTACAACGGACGGTATAAATTAGGCTAAAATTATCTTTACTGGTTCTAAGGTATTTCACTTAATATTGCAGATTGCACTGTTCCTTAACCTTCTAATTGGATCCGGCTTATTATTTTTTGCAAACTGTTAGAGCAATTTTATAAAATTTAAGCTGGAACTTTCGATTATGTCGAAAAGAGTTTCCAATTCTGGAGCTGCCAAAGGATCTACAAAGCGAAGTATGGTTTGATGTCCATCAAACAAAAAGTGGAATTGCTGCAAAAGATGGATAAAGGCATATCCTTCTCAAAATTATGCAAGGAGTATGGACATTGGAAAGCCAACTGTATATGAGATAAGCAAAAAGAAAAATGAACTTTCTGAATTTTTTGTTGATTCCAACAGCCCACTTGCAACAAATAACAGAAAAAGGGTTCATAATGCTAAAAGTGACGATCATGGTAAAGTGATGATTGAATGGGTCAGATAGTGTCTCAGTGAGAGTGTGCCATTGACGGGTTCAATGCTAATGGCTCAAACCAAAATATTTCACTAAGAAATGAACTTAAACACTGAGTGCACATGTTCGGCAGGTTGGTATAAAATTTAAAAATTGCCATGGTATGAGACAATTAAAAATTTTAGGTGACAAAGCTTCAGCTGATAATGAAGCTGCTGAACAATTTGCAGATGAATTCATTGAACTCATCATTAGTGTACAACTATCTGTAGAACAAATTTACAATGCTGATGAAACTGGTCTTTTCTGGCAATATGTACCACGAAATACCTTGGCAACCTCTACAGAAAAGGTTCCAACTGGTGTCAAAGATTCCAAAGCGAGACTAACAATTTTAGCGAGCGTGAGCAAATGCTGCAGGAACGCACAAGTGCAAACTTTTCGTAATCGGAAAAAATGCACGACCTCGAGCATTTAAAGAAGTAATGATTTTCCCCGTTTTCTATCGCGCAAATAAAAGAGCATGGATGACACAAGCATTGATGAATGATTGGTTTGAAAATCATTTTATACCCAAGGCTCGGCAACATTTGAATTCGGTTGGTTTACCTGATGACTCAAAAATAGTCCTGATTGTTGTCAAGCGCATACTTAAAGTTTTAGTGAAAGATAATGTATCCATATTATTCTTCCCTCCACATTGTATGTCTATCATTCAGCATGGAACAGTGCACACGCTGAAAATGCAAATATAAAGTAGCATTTTTAAAATCTATGTTAAACTTCTTGAACAATGGCAAGACTTTTTAAAATTTTTTAGCATAAATTCTGTTGTGTGGAGCATCGCAAGATCATGGGAGAATGTGTCTCCAGATACGTTAAAAAATGCTTGGCATAATTTATGGCCAGCTACCATATTTCATGGTGAGGATGATGAAGATGATAGCCGTGAATTTGAAGGTTTTCAGACATCGCAAAGTAAAGGTGAAATTTTCCAGGTATTGGATTTTGTAAAGAAATGTGGAGAAGCGGTAATAAATGAAAATGATATAACAGAAGTTTTTCATTGCAACGACAATGCCCAAATCATCAATCATTGGATGGCGAAATCTGTAGTATGGTTCTAGATCCAGAAAATACTGCTTCCGATAGTGAAGAAAGTGACAGAAAGGTTATTGAAAACAAAAAATTTCGATTGACAAGTTAGTCAGTATTCTCGACACAGCAATTACAGGACTTGAACAGTGGAACTTTGCAACAGAACAAGAAATTATGTCTGTTTACAAAATTAAAGAGAAAGTATTAGCACAAAAAACGAAGCAACTTAAACAATTTACATTGAAAGAAACGTTTAATAAAGTAAACAAATAAATATTAAGCTTTTTTTTTTTTTTTTGAATTTTGATACCCTTTAAATCATAATTTCTCTTTATATCATAAATTACAATTTCATATTTTTAATTGTATAATTTCTGCATGCCATCTTACTAGATTTAAATTGATTATCTATAATCCGGAAAAAACCCTAATCCGGAATCGCTGAAGTCCCAACTAGTCCAGATTACGGACTTTGTACAGTATAATATAATATAATACACATGTGCTTTAAAGCCAGTTCAGTTATGATGATCTTCCCAGAAGCTAGTGAAACCAGACCCAGCAGCCTATGACAGAACCTCATACTCCAGCGACACAGTCATTAATTCGCAAGAGATCGTGAGCCTATTCTTTGCCATACCCCAAAGTATCACTTCACATACTACACTTTGGAAATCACTAGTCTAAAAAGTATAAATGACTTTACAAATGATATTTTTTTAAATAATTTATTTACATATTTTTTTTGCTTTATTTGCATTAACCATGAATATTAAAATCTAAATGAACATTTTAAAAATTTTATGCTGATGATAAAATTACTTTATTGCTTAGCAAGGACTAACTTTTTTTCATTAGTTATTCATGAAGCTTATTATACAAAGAAAAGAAAATTGTTCAGCTAATAAAATTATAAAAAAGTTTACTCAAATCTAAAAACTCTTAATAGTTTCATAAACATACTAATTAACTAAAATTGCCAACAGTAATGATATAAATTTTTTTACTTACTTAATTTCTGAGAATCTGATATTTTTTCAATGATGTCTACAGACTAAAAATAAACAATGCATACAGATTCAGCGTAATTTTCATATTTTTAATTAAGATTAAGCAAAACAATGACAGTGACTATATAAAAGTATAAATTATCAAAGCATTTACTTATGAATCATACTAAAAGTGCTTCAAACAATAAATATACATTAAATTTTATATAAAAAGTTATTTATTTCATATTTAAGAAAACACATGTATATTAAATGTCATAATCACCTTCACAGTTTTATCACAAATAAAACGGAACCTAGGATTTTTCACAAATTTCCAAACATCCTTAGGCTTGACTGGTATAATTAGCTGGCACATGAAACTGGAGAAGAGATATGTATAATATATACTACAACAATTCAATAAAAAATTGAATGATCTCAAATTCACTGAGTACGAAAACAAGTTTTTCTAATAGTTGCGCAAGAGCTGTAAAGTAAGATAATAATAATTTATTTACCAAAGAAATATTGATTATATTATCTTCTAATATAAATTTAGTAGAATGTATCAAAAAAGAGCGAACCCATATATAGGAAATTTAATTCCAAAAATTTTGTTATAAAGTAATGTGAATGTAAATTATGGGAAAAAAAAATTTAAGGGGACTTGAATTTTAAATCATGAATAACAAAATTTCAATCTTTGAAAAAGAAATTAAAAACTAAAAAAGAAGTAATTATCGCTATTGATCGGAAATTAGTTGACTTTTCAAGGGGGAAAAAACCAACTCCCGTTCAATGAACAATACTTAATAAATGCGAAGGTGCTTCGTTTTTTACTGAAGTAAGAATGATGATGCCAAACTGGCAAATTAAGTTAGGCCAAAATTGTAGCTCTGTGAAGTGATGGGATTTATAACCAAAGAAGACTACCAATAAAGCGAAAATGCTTCATTCAGAATGAGTACTAATGAACTCATTCTGAATGAAGCATTTTCACTAATACAAGATTCTTTAGAAATTTTGAGTGAAAAGCAATTTATGTAGTAAAATTTACAATATACTTCAGTAAATGTCCTCCGACACCTTCGCTTTTATACATGTTAATTCAAGACTATTTTTTATAAAAATACGCATAATAAACAGTACTATTCTTAAATGGAATTATGAAATAGAACTCAAAGTAATTGAAATAAACATGGGAAAAATAAAAACATAACAATGCTATCTTTGCAAAAAAAATTAAATAAAAGTTGAAAAATTGAAATATATATAATATGAAAGTAAAATGTACATGAAAATGAAATGTACATGAAGATATAATAGGCCAGAAAATGCATTATTTAACTTACGTTCTTTCCAGTGGGGGATGTCAGTAAAGTGTTCTCTTCTGTGTCTTATACAGAAGGAAGGGTGTCTGAAATTCCGTTATCAGCAGTGGGGATACTTTGAATTATTACAGGCGGTGAAACTTTTGAGAAGCTATTTTTGGGACGTGGGAGGGACTAGGAATGCTTCAGGGATGTTTGTTACGGAGTTCTTATGTGAGTGAAAACGGCAGTTAAAATTTTGAATATACTAACTAGTGAATGGAAATTAATTAATTTCTGGCTAATTATCATGTCGGAACGAGGAAGAAAAGAAGAAAGAGAAAAAAGTAATTTTCACTGTCAATAAGCTATTTGACAGACTAAAGAGTATGAAATAGGCTCATTTTTTTAGTAACAGCTTAAGAAAAGTCTGAAACAATTATTTTTTACATTATACACAATTTTGTAATTACACTATGTACAAATCCTCCAACTGATAGTCATCCAACTATCAGTTGGAATCAGTAACGGTATGCCTTCTCAGGTTTAGGAACAAATTATCATATCCCTATCAGTTAAGTGACTTTGAGTGAGTATTTAACGCCTGCCCTTTTAAGACAACGGTTAATAAATCGATTAGGTATTAGATTATTTTTGAGAATTTTAATAAGGAGGAAAATTTCGCGTTGTAGATCTATTTATCTGTGCAAATATTTTTAATACATTGTATTTGATTTAAGATTGTATTACTAATAACTTTTTTTGCAGATGTTAGAAGTCAAATTTATTAATTTGATAGTATTCAAATTGAAGTTTCTTGTTTTGTCAAACAGTAAAATGTTTTTGTAGTTAATTATTTAAAGATCAAGATAGTCGATATTATTTTGCAAATGATTAGTTCTATTAAGTATAAGGCATTCTGGATAAATCTCGGAGTATTCAATCTTATTAAAATTATTAAATGTAATAAGATCATCTATATACCTGTAAGTGTGTTTGTAGTAATTTAATTCTTGCTGTTGTAAATTTTTTTGGAAGGTAAATTCTTTGATAAATAAAAAGAGATTACAGATCGAAGTACTGGAATGTGCGTCCATTGGAAGTCCTCTGACTTGTTTAAAAAGTTGATTTTGAAATTTAATGTAGTTATGAAAAAGGGTGCATTTTAGGTAGATTTTCCATTTACTAATGTTCATAATCGTGAGCATAGCAGGGAAAAGCTATGCTCACGATATATGATCATACAAAACATTAACTTCTATGACTTTGAAAACCTATATACCTCACTTCCTTAAGAAGAAATCTATACTAGTCTACAGTCAAAAGTCTTTAATCCGGACTCGTCGGGACTTCGGCGATTCTGGATTATCGATTTTTCCGGATTATAGATCATCAGTTTAAATCTGGTAAGATGGCATGCAGAAATTATAAAATTAAAAAATATGAAACCGTTTAATTTATAAATATAATGAGCAATTATGATCTAAAGGGTATCAAAATTTTTTTACCAAAAAAGAAGCCTAATATTTATTTGTTTACTTTATTAAACATTTCTTTCAAACGCACGGATGGCGTAAAGCATACATTACGCATAGTCGAAATTAGAAAATTGCAACCTGGAAAACTATTTGATTTGTATTTCGTGATATTTATAATGACGAGGAAATTTGATTTAAATCATATCAAAGACGGAGTACATTGAAGATGAAATACTACATTTAGTAAGGAATTCATAAGCCGAATAAAATAAAAACATCTGCCCTGAAGATAACGAGGATAGTGCTGACAAATCAACTTCCAGTTCATTGCGCGCCGCGACGTTCCCCCCCCTTCCCCGCGCAGAGCAGCGTGAAATTGATAAACAGATTTCGGAACGGTTAGATAAACAAAGAATATGTCTTTATCCATTTTTTTGTAGCAATTCGTTTTTTTGTTTGATGGACATCGAAACATACTTTCGTTTTCTAGATCCTTTGGGAGCTCCAGCATCGGAAATTCTATTTTGACATAATCAAAAGTTCAAGCTTACTTTTAGAAAATTGCTCTTACAGTCTGCAAAAAATAATAAGCCGGATCCAATTCGAAGATTAAGGAACAACGCAATCATCAACATTAACTGAAATAGATAATTAGATAATTTTAGCTTATAGCGTCCGTTATACATTAAACGCGCACGCGAAAACGTATTCTGCACTTGCGCAGACGCATATGCGCAGTCGTAAATGTCTTGTGCGCTTGAGTAAAACGCCTATGCGCATGCGTCAATGCGGCGCATGCGCAGAAAGATTTTAGCTTTGAGGTCCGGATTATAGATCATTCCGGATTATGGGTGTCCGAATTAACGACTTTTGACTGTACTAGATCTGCCTAAACTCTTCTCTGCTATGCTCATGATTATGAACATTAGTAAATGGAAAACCTGCCTAAAATGCACCCTGCTATAACTCTCATGCTATAAATAAATAATAATCATGAGCATACCAGGGAAGAGTTTAGGCAAATCTAGTAGACTAGTATAGATTTCTTCTAAAGGAAGTGAGGTATATAAGTTTTCAAAGTCATAGAAGTTAATGTTTTGTATGATCATATATCATGAGTATAGTTTTTCCCTGCTATGCTCACGATTATGAACATTAGTAAATGGAAAACCTACCTAAAATGCAGCCTTTTCCATAACTACATTAAATTTCAAAATCAACTTTTTAAACAAGCCCGAGACTTCCAATGGACGCCCATTCCAGTACTTCGATCTGTAATCTCTTTTTATTTATCAAAGAATTTACTTTCAAAAAAAATTTACAACAGCAAGAATTAAATTACCACAAACACACTTACAGATATATAGATGATCTTATTACATTTAATAATTTTAATAAGACTGAATACTCCGAAATTTATCCAGAATGCCTTACACTTAATACAGCCAAAGTCTTTAATCCGGACGTCCATAATCCGGAATGATCTATAATCCGGACCTCAAACCTACAAACTTTCTGCGCATGCGGGTTTAATGTATAATGGACGGTATAAGCTAAGCTAAAATTATCTAATTATCTATTTCAGTTAATGTTGCAGATTGCATTGTTCCTTAATCTTCAAATTGGATCCGGCTTATTATTTTTTGAAGACTGTTAGAGCAATTTTATAAAAGTACGCTTGAACTTTTGATTATGTCAAAAAGAATTTCCGATTCCGGAGCTGCCGAAGGAGACAAAGCGAAAGCATGTTTCGATGTCTATCAAACAAAAAGTGGAATTGTTGCAAAAAATGGATAAAGGCATATCCTTTGTTTCTCTAACCATTCTGAAATCTGTTTATCAATTTCATGCTGCTCTGCGGGGGGCAACGCGGCGCGCCATGAACTGGAAGTTGATCTGTGATAATTATCCTTGTCTTCAGAGCACATGTTTTTATTTTATTCGGCTTATAATTCCTTACTAAATGTAGTATTTCATCTCGATGTACTCTGTCTTTGATATGATTTAATTCAAATTCTTCATCATTATAAATATCACAAATACACATCAAATAGTTTTCTGGTTGCAATTTTCTAATTTCGACTATGCGTAATGTATGCTTTACGCACGTGCGTATTGAAAGAAATGTTTAATAAAGTAAACAAATAAATATTAAGATTTTTTTTGTAAATTTTGATATCCTTTAGATCATAATTGCTCTTTATTTCATAAATTACAGTTTCGTATTTTTAATTTTATAATTTCTGCATGCCATCTTACCAGATTTAAATTGATGATCTATAATCCGGAAAAAACGATAATCCGGAATCGCCGAAGTCCCTACGAGTCCGGATTAATGACTTTTAACAGTAAAACAAATCATTCGCAAAATAATATCGAGTATCTCGATCTTCAAATAATTAACTACAAAAACATTTTACTGTTTGACAAAACAAGAAACTTCAATTTCAATACTAACAAATTAATAAATTTGACTTCCAACATCTCCAAAAAAGTTATTAGTAATAAAAATCTTAAATCAAATACAATGTATTAAAAATATTTGCACAGATACAATAGATCTACAATACGAAATTTTGCTCCTTATTAAAA